CCCCAAAACCCCAAAACCCCAAAACCCCAAAACCCCTAAAATGATCATCACACTTGAAATCTAATAAAGATATAATTTCTACATATCCTCATCTGCCAATTCTCTTAAAAATAAAAATGGAGCCCGAAAAAGTTCTATGTTTTCTCTGCAAAGTGTACAGGGATAGAGACCATGAAGACAGAAACGTAAGAATATACAAAAATGATACCCTACGTAGACATTATTGCAAGCAGTACAAAATAAAACGCCTGTGAAATATAGAAATCGGCCAAAACGTGACACCAGAGAGCATTGAGCAGGACAAGAAGGAATTCAGAGAGCTGATTGAAGGCACAATGACCAACGAAGATATGGCCTTTATGAGAAGAATAGCAGAGTGACCTATTTGATTGGAAATACCTGTTTTACACAGGGCTGTAACGATATCGTGATGTGGGAGAGTTTGGTGTCTTGATTGTGCTCTGGAGCATATGAAGATGGACAATAAGTGCTCTCATTGAAGAGCTGATATTAATACTGGGCTTTTCAGCGACGCTAAAATGTTAAAAGATATCATCGAAGGAGTAGAAATCCGTAGAAAAGAGAAGCTAAAAATGATATGAAATGAGCATGAGAGAAAAATAAACTGATTCTGTAATGACTGTGACCAATTCATATGCACCAAATGATTGCTTGTCCAGCACCGATAACACAATCTTGTCGAAGCAAGTGAAAAATATTCTCAAGTCGAGCAGACCATCCACAAGGAAACTAGTAAATTGGAGAAGACTCTGGAGTTAATAACTCAGTCTGAGCAAGATATCTTAGACAAGTGTCACAAGAGTAAAGAAATTGTAATGGCTGAGATTGAACCCCCATTGACGCTGATTTCTGAACATTTAACCAAGCATCACCAAGAATCTTGGGGATGGTTTGACAATTATGCCACATGTCTCCAGAAGGTTAAAGAATACCAGAAAACAAATGTAGGATGAAATCAAGCTTTGGTAGCTCAAAAGTCTTTTAACAATCTCAGAGAGATGTATAGGATCCAGAAAGAGACTGAAGGTTTAAATAAAAACCTCATGATTTTCCAAGACCACTATGCAAGGCTTTCGGCTAATTCTCAGTTTTCTGTTGAAAAGTATACTTTTGAGTTTGAACTTGCCAAGCACAGTGGACGAATGCTTGCTGACGCCACTTCGAATAATCTAAATTTGCAATTATGGATTCAAGATTGTGTTGGTTCGATTCAACTAACTCCAATAAAGAAGAAAGCTGATAAAGATACCAGCTGATCAAATGAAGAATCTAAAGAAGAAACTATAGAGCAGAGTGACATTTGCTTGGAAAACAAAGATCCACCAACTGAACTTGACAATTCAGAATCAACTATAAATCAACCCGAATTATCCACAAAAACTATGAATAAAGAATCAGAAATTACTCTAAACTTGTCTGAAAAATACCTTTTGTTTCAAGAAGAGAAGCTAGACTTATTCGGAAACCATAAAAAACTGCTAACCGTTCATAAATTCCTGTCAGTCATAAAGCCTTCGACTCCTTTGTCGCTGCCTCTGGACTCCTGTCTGGACTCCAGCACGAACACTTTCAAAATCAAATTCCTTGTCTATGACTACTCCCCCGCACTGCAGGAACACCTCAAGGACTCATTGACTTCGGTCGCTGGGATGCTCAAGGAGGCTCTTGAGAGGACACAGCAGGTGGTTGACAAGTTGGATGATCAGTAAAGTAATTTTGGACTCAATATATTGGAAATCTGTTGGGGTTTTGGGGTTTTGGGGTTTTGGGGTTTTGGGG